TGTGTGTGTGTGTGTGTGTGTGTGTGTGTGTGTGTGTGTGTGTGTGTGTGTGTGTGTGTGTGTGTGTGAAGTCAGGGCATGACTAGAGAGGACACTGCAGTAGCAAGCCCTTTTCAGAGTCTGAGAATTAGGCCACTTCAGATTGGGTGGCCAAGAAATGTGGTGTTCAAGCTGAAAAATCACAGAAGGCACTAGCCATGCACAAAATCACAGTGAAGAGCGTGTTCTATTAAGAAACGAGCATACCTGGGGCCCAGGGAGGGGGAGTCACTGAGTCCTGGGGTGTGGAGGGGTTCGATGGATGGGTGAGTCCAGAGGCGCTGGCTGTGACAGTCATGTGCTTTCACGGGAAGGGATGAGAGGTTCTACACTTGGCATTTTACCAAGACCACTGTGGCTGCGGTGGCAGGAGCGCATGGCAGAGGCATGAATAAGGCTGGGTAGATAGATGCACTACAAACATTTGAATGCCATCTTTAAATGGGCTTTTAGTTCTCTGTTGTTAACTCCTTGTGTTTACATTTTCTGCTGAGATTGGTTTTCTTCTTTGGCCATCTCTCCCTTTGTCCTTGCAGGTCTGGGAGGGGCTGAATGTCGTGAAGACAGGCCGAGTGATGCTTGGGGAGACCAACCCCGCGGACTCCAAGCCTGGGACCATTCGTGGGGACTTTTGCATCCAAGTTGGCAGGTGGGATCTGGTGTTTTTCACCCTTTTGAATCTGGGTGTTGGAAGAATTTGGGTTTTCTGAAGCTGACCTCACACCCTGCAGATCTATTTTCAATCAGAGTTTATTATTTTCCTCCGTCTTACGTTGCCATTTGGCTCTGCAGGCCTCCTGCCATCAGTATTGTGCCCACACACTCTGCGGGCCAAGGTCCTTCCCGAAGGCTCTCGCTTGCTTGTATCAGTGCTGCGGGGGCTGGGCGTGGGGAAGCCAGCTCTGGACCAAGCTACAGGGGTGAGGAGCTTTGGGGCACTTAGTCCTTCTGGTTTGGTAATAAGGCCATCTCTTTCCCCACCCAGGAACATTATTCATGGCAGCGACTCCGTGGAGAGTGCAGAGAAGGAGATTGGCTTGTGGTTTCATCCTGAGGAACTGGTAGATTACAAGAGCTGTGTGCAGAACTGGATCTATGAGTGACCTGAACGCAGACCCCACTGCTCCCCCACTCCATTTCCTCTCTCCCATGAGCAGGGGACCAGGCTATAGCCATTGTAATTATTTCTGAGAACTTCCTTGTAACCTGGAGGAAAAGTCTTGGAGCGGTGCTCCCTGTTCAGTGTTACGTGCTACCACCAGATTAAAATGTTTCATCCCAGCAGGGGACGTGTTCTTGTCCATGTACTCTGGACGTGTACCGGCGGTACAGAGCACACTGTAGGAGAGACTGGAGTGATGTAGAGTGGCTGGCGAGATCGTGCATACACACCATAGTTTCTGCATGTCCCAGTCCCACTGCAGCCCACCCACTCTTGGCACTGAGCCAGTCAACAGGCATCTGTCAAGAATCTGCCATGTTGTCAAGACGGTACCAGGCACGATGGATTCATTCAAAATAAAGCTATGTCCTTCTATTCTTAAGAAGCTCTCAGGGATTCAGTGGATGGGGGAAGGTGAAAAGTTGTAATTACTGCAAGACAGAAAAGCTATGTGGGGAGTGGTCCTGGGACCCTGAGCTGGCCTCAGAAGTAGGAGAAGCCTGCCTCTTTGAATTCTTCTGCAGCGTTGAATTGGTAGGATGCTGATTTGGCTGCTTTATCAGAGACAAGATAGAAATTTATTTTACTTTTAAAATCCAAGCTGAAGATCTAGTGTATAGGACTATGACTATAGTTAGTAATAATGTATTACATACTTGAAATTTGCTGGGGTAGGGTAGATCTTAGGTGTTCTCACTACCAAAGAAAGAAAAGGAAACCTGTGATGTGGTGAGTATGTTTGCTAGCTTGAATGTGGTGATTATTTCACAGTAATATGTGTAGGTTTCCTCTGAGATTCAAAAGCAAAACACTCCTATTTCCTATGACTTGGGGGTTTGTTGTTTGGGCCTGGGGATGCTGTTAGCATTAATTTATATAGCGGCCCACCCTTGTGACTCAACGGGTTAAAAGTGCAGCACAGTGAAGCTAGCTTCAGCCAATCCCTGGCTAGGGAGGTGGCCCACATGACACAGCAGACCTCTCCTGACCCGCCTGCTGCTCAGCAGTGTACTTCATCAATCTGCCTGTTCTGCTCCCCACTCTTTCTCTGGTGAATCCTCTCACCACCCCTGAGCCTCTGGCCTGTACCCCAGTTCTGTACGCATAAATAAATAATCTTAAAAAATAATCATTTATATAGAAAAACTTTTGAGTATTCCCAGGTCCATTACCTCCCAGATCATACCCAACAGGGTGGTTCTATTTTTGGATAGCAGGGGAAAACTGTATGTCAAAGCATCAAGATGTATACCTTAAACACATACACATTTCACTTGTCAGTTGTACCTTAGTCAAGTTGAAAGAAAGTCCAAGGGGCTACATACGGGTGGTGATAGCAGTGGACTGATCCTTAAGGTTGGTGGGGTCTCTGTTTCCTCTATCAAGCCTGTAAGTTGGGAAGGAAAGAGAAAGTTTCTTTTAAGGGCACAACCTTGAATTTACCACCTTCACTCCCCCTTATCATATGGCCAGAACCTAGTCTTGGGATGGCTGTCTAATGCAAGAAGAACTAGAAAATATTCTATTTGGGTAACCTTGTGTCCTGATGAAACTCGTGACTTGTATGAGGATGGAGAAAGTAAGGATAGGTATAGGGGACAACTGTTGATTTTGCCACAAACTTTAGTAGGTTTTTTTTTTCTTCCTATTAATTGGGCTTTGGAAAAAGCAATAAAGGTGAGCAACTTCTGAGGAAAGAGCTGTATTGAGGTATAATTAGCAAATGAAATTGTAAAGATACCTAAGGTATCTTTAGCTGTAGCTGGAAGGAGTCCCCTCATAGGGAGCCACCTCTTTGGGGAAGGGGCAGCTGAAGGCTAGATGCATTTCTGTTTCATACAGCCTATTTTGGGGGGGGGGGGTTGAGTGCCAGGCCTTTCGGGGAGCGAATATATGTATAGTAAGGCAGCAAGGGGGTATTTGTACTTTCCCAGTTACAGACGGTTTGTTCAGAAAGGGAAGGAGAGGTAGAGACGGGGCTGCTGCTGATTGGCCCTCAAGGAGGAACAGTGATGGATCAAAGGGCAAGTAGTGCTTAGAAATTTCCAGTGAGATCTCCAGATCTCCCTATAGCGGAGATTTTGTAACTCTGAAAAGGAAACCCAGGCCCTTGCTGGTGGTACAGTGGGTTAAAGCACAGCACTATGAAGCTATCACTGTCACTGCAGCACAGGTTCAATCCCCAGCCAAGGAGGTGACCCACACAGCGCAGCAGATCTCTTGTTTTGCCCGCTGCAGTGTATTTCAGTCAGCCTGTCTGTTTTGCTCCCCACTCTGTCTCTGGGGAGTCCTCTTACCTCCCTCACACCTCTGGCCTGTACCCTAGTTCCATATACATAGATAAGTAAATCTTTAAAAAAGGAAACCCAAGTGAGAATGCTTCTGATTGAAGGGAACCCTGGGTGTCCCGGCACCAGAATGAGGACTGCCAGCATGTTACAGAACAATGCTATGGATAGAAGTGTGGAAAGCCAGCAAAGGGTAATAGAGGCTGGATTGTCATCTAAGAGACAGGTATCGGTGCAGTTCCAGATGACTCCCCAGGCCATTCTGATAGCTCACTATCCTGAGCAAAGGCAGACAGCTAGACCATTGTGGGTCATATATCTTGCGGCATGGCTGTGAGAATGGGGTGGGGGGAGGGAGATGCAGGCTGACACCCCCCGGAGGAAATTGGGCACCACCAAAGACCGGGGTGTTGGGGGGAGGTGGATTTTCAAACCCAGTGGCTCACTATCAAATGAAGGCAGCAGGTTGCAGGAATATCATAATCTCAGGAAACAGTTGATTGCTAAAATCTTAGAAAACATATCAAAACAGATCTTTTGGTTACAACTCAAGACTGGGGCTGGCTGGGAATGGGTCATAAAGCACCTTGCAGCTCCTCACTCTGCTCCATGAACTCCTTATTGGCTTAAGTCACATGCAGATGTGAGGGGTTTTCCACTCACAGGTCTACAGGGTGATCTGGGAATTGGCAACCTGAGGCTGCTGGAGCAGCTGTGTCTTGGCCACAGCCTCCCTGGGTAGAGCAGCTGGTAAAACTGCCGGTAGCTACCACCACAGCTGGTTATATTCCACTGGTTCCACACGCTCAGTCCCACTGGCATTGTCAGGGATTCTGTTCCAGTTCTGAGAATTTTTTTTTTTAAGATTTATTTATTTACTTACTGATGCATACAGAACTGGGATACAGGCCAGAAGTGTGGGGGACAGGGGTGGTAAGAGGATTCACCAGAGAGGGCCCTAGTTCTGTGAACTTTACAAGACACCCCTATCTGGTCCACAACCACCTTTCCTCCAAGACAGAAGAGGAAGGGGTAGACTGATGAATTCAAACAGCATGCCATATCCATATCAGGGGTCTGTTGGGTCCCCCAGAAGGGAGCATTCAAGACTGGCATCTGGTTGTTTTTCATAAGTGGCATAGTTCAGTTTAAAAGCTTTTGGCTGTTGTGGCTACTAGAAAGGGTTTCCCATTAATTTTCTGCAAACTCTTCTCAGCTGTGGCCCAATAATCAATTCTGCAAAACTGTAGCTAGCTGGAATTCTAGTGAGGCAGATTTGCATAAATATGATCTTCATCAGGGTCTCGCCCATGGTGGCAAAGACTCTGGAGATGAAGGTATCTATCACCCACTGGGTCTCCGGATGCTGGGACCTGCTACTGTCACCCCAAAGAACTTTCCTCCTCATCCCCATCCACTTTCATCCCCGAAAGACCTGATGTTTATGAGAATCTAGACTCTTGACAAGGGTGTGTCAAGAATTGGATAAGCGGAGTGCCCCTTGCCGTGCCGGGTGGGCAAATTATTTCAGGATAGGGACAGGGCAGCAGTCGGGGCCAGAAAGGTGACTGGAGACAGGCAGGGAGCGCGCAGGGCGGGCTGTGAAAAGTTTGGGGTAACTTGCCCTCTGGCTTCCCAATGCCAGCCGTGGGGCAGGGGCTTTCATCAAAGTAGGGCTGAGGATCTGGTGGCAGTGTGAGGGCGGCGTGGCGGGGACCGGTGCGGAGAGAGGTCGGGGTGGCAGTCCGGCTGATTGCACGGTGGGAAGCGCTTGTGGGTGCATGCCAGGGAGGAGAAAATACCTGACCGGGGAAGCAGACGGTACTGACCTGGGTAAGGAACCCCAGACCAGCAGCGGGGGTCGGCTAGGGTGTGGTGGTGCGAGTGTGGGGGGCGTGCGTGTGTTGTGGGGTGCGTGTGTCCACTGAAGCGAGGAGCCTGATTTGGACCGTGCATAGTTTCACTTGTGGGACACCGAGGTGAAGAAGAAATCACTTCCTGCCCGGGAGCCCTCACTCTCCCGTAGCCTTTTCCGCAAACTCGGGGCGTGGACAAAGCCCTCCGCCGCGCCCGGCCCCGCGGGTTGGGCGGCCCAGACCTCCGGGGTGTGGCCGCCGCGCGCCCCTCCTCCGCGGGCGGCTCCCGGCTGGGGTGGTCGCCCAGATCTCCGCTCCGGCTGCGCCTGCGACTCCGGCTCCGACTCCCTCCACGACTCCGGCTCCGGCGTCGCAGCGCAGCCTCCGCCAGGCCCCTCCAGCTCCTCGGTACGGCGGTGGCTCTGCCCCTCCCCACCCCTGGCCCCTCTCCCGCGGGCACCGCGTCCGGCG